AATGGAATTATTAAATTCTTTTTTAAGTTTGAGATATGGTTACTGAGAGAGACTAATAGGATCTTATGTGCTAAAATGGTAATGATCATTACACACAGAAATCACAATAACGTGATGCATCAAATGAACAAATCCACAAGCCAACTATGTCGTAGCTCAGTCGATTTAGGCAACGTCTGGGATGCTCCCGGACGTAGGTTCGAATCCTCGTCACGGCCCTTGTGGATTTGTTCATTGATAATGATCACTTGTGGTCTTAAACCGTGAATTAATAGACATATAAATACTTATTAAACTTCTACCTGGACTACAACCACTACCCACTACCTGGACTACGACCACCAGGCCCAACACAGAGGAAGCAGAGACCAGCCTGGCGACGGCCAGCATGTCCGCTCCCTCCACATTGAGTTTACCATTCTTCACAAAGTCGACCAGCCAACAGTGAGTCTTTTATTTTTTTTTAAATGACTATGGATCATTAGGAATTGTGCTGATATTCCTAATGGAACTGCAAGCTATAAGAGCTGTTACGCTACAGGCTCATCTGAAGCCTGTCCCTAGAAACTCATTTATTTGATGAGATTATTTGTATCCATTAGAATTAAATTAAATTCTTTGCTAAGGATCTCTCACGTAAGGAACAGGATGAGCTGGGAGCCATCTGTGTGCCTTGATCCTTATTTTTTACTTGCTTGAGTCAGACTAATTTTTAGCGATGTTTAGGGCTAGTATTGGGCCGTTTTCTTAGCCGAATGATTAGGATCTGTTTTACTCCACTGTAGTGTCATGGTTAGCATAGAATTTTGGCCATTTTGTTGTGTCAATCGGATGTTTAATTATGTATAAGTTATAGATTTTTTATTTGTATTGATGAAAGGCTATTTGAGTCTAATTTCCTCTTTTCCAGCACTAGTTAAAAAAAATTTCATCGCTTTTCTATGCTAATTACCATTTTCTTAACACCAATTTTGATTTTCTTCCAACAATTTTAATTTTCCCCTAAAGCAAATCTCTTTACATTCTGAACTCCAACAATACCTTTTCCCGCCGCTTTTACACCAGAAGTCCGCCCTACGTGCTGTACGCTGCGTGCGGACGCGAGGCCGGCTGCTACAGCGCCTACTGCAGGAAGAGGAGTTCATGGTACGCTTACCAGGGCGCCGCCATCCGGCCCACCAGCCTTAGTAAGGTGCTCTCTGCCTCCCGTCTCCAGGTCCTCTTCTACGAGCGCCAGTTCCAGCGCTAGCTGGCTCCAGTCTCGGGCCAGATTCACGAAGCAGTTTCGCAAGCAGTTACGAACGTGTACATCTTTCCTCAATCTTTGACGGCTTTGGTTACATTTATTAAACAGTTTACAAGCATGAAAACTTCCCAATCAATTGTTATTATTGTTATAAACAGCCTCCTGGTGCTTCGGAGCTCAGTAACTGTTTATTAATTGTAAACAAAGCCGCCAAAGATTGAGAAAAGATGTACACGTTCGTAAGTACTTGCGTAACTGCTTTTTTGAATCTGATGGTGCTGGAGCCACCTTCACTACCCACTGTGTCTGGTTTAGCTCTACGGCTTCCGGGAGGAACTTCCACGGGAAGATATTCTGGCCGCAATAGGCTAATGCTCTCGGATGAGTTTCTGCGCGGTAATTAGTCAATGGGTTGTTATAACATTGCAATGTTGCACCCAATTAGCATTAGTAAAAGAGTTGTCGTTACGTCGTATGTTGGTTGGGCTTACATGTTCTGAGAGAGAATTGTATTAAAGTTTTATTGGATGTTTAAATTATTCTTAATCTCTAGGTTTTTCGTTCATACTTGTATATCTGTGTTTATATATTTTTATACGATTCAATTTTATATTGTTGTTCGATACACTTGTGATTGTATAAATGTTATAATACCTAACATAATGTTTATAGTTATAATATGAACAATTGAAATTATGTATAAATTATAAAAATGCAGCATTCTTATATATTTTTTATGTTATACAAAAAAGTTATCATGACATATATACAACATATAGGCTGGAGGGGGGAAGGGATGGAAAGGTCAACAAGGGCTGTGGGCAACCCGTCCTCGAGTCAAGTCCATTCCATCCAGCGGTCGACCCCACAGACGCATTCATAAATTTTAACATGCTGTTCATTCAAAACGGGAATTTTCTCAAGTATAAATTAATATTATAATATATTAGCATATTGTGCATATATAGGCATAGGTTAGGTTAGGTTAGGTGTTTAGGTTCTGTTGGCGATTATTTGTATTTGTAGTACTGGGTGTGAAGCATTTATAGCGTTGTGATTCAAACAAAATTCGTCAGTGAAGCACTTGTTCCGGATATGTTCGAACGTCAGCAGTTGTGAGTCGTGTGTAAACCGCTTTTCATTCATAAACAGGAGATTTGGCAGGTGCATGGAATGGACTTTGGCCTTTGTTAATGAGGATGGGCTGCGTGGGACTTCAATTAGGCAGTTCAGCTGAACTGCCATACTACATTTATGTCATCTATGTATGCTCTTTGTCAAGTACCAAAATGAACATTTCTCTAATACTCAGTAAAGTCAGTTACTCCTAAACGTCTCTATTAAACAATGATGTATAAGTGAGTATATCATGAATAATCTGGAGTAATATGCGAGTATATTACATTATCATGAATAATATACATCAGTAACCATGCCGTGGCTTAACCATTCATGTGGTTATATGTATTTCTTCCTGCTCTTAAGTAAACTGTAAAAGACCTATTGGCCTATACGAGGCAGCTTATATGTATATCCACTCAAATGAATGTAACTATATGTACGCTGCGTGTGGTTATCTTGAGATGATTTCGGGGCTTTAGTGTCCCCGCGGCCCGGTCCTCGACCAGGCCTCCACCCCCCAGGAAGCAGCCCGTGACAGCTGACTAACACCCAGGTACCTGTTTTACTGCTAGGTAACAGGGGCATCAGGTTGAAAGAAACATTTTGCCCATTTGTCTTTGTGGAGGCGAGGCTGCAGCGCCTACGGCAGGAGGAGTTGTTGAAGGAAATGTTATCAAGTCTACAGTGTTAATTTATTGCTATATACGTGTATATCATATGTTGTTGTCCTTGCTAATGCGTCTCTTGGTCCATGTGACGGCGGGAGACAGGGCCGTCTAGACAGCTGTTATTGTGCTGGTGACTTCATGAGACAGGAACTTCCGGACAGCTGTTGCTGCACAGGAGCTTCCATACAGGTGTAATTGTTGAGACAACCGGAAACAGGAACACTTGGGCAGCTGTTCTTTTACAGCTGACGTACGGGAGAAGCACTGAAGTTGGATATATTTACCACGGAAGGACAGTTCTCATATGCGGCATTGATTGATTCCTAAAATCGCTTTAACACAACAAATCTTGGAACAACTTAACCGCTCTTAGAGTCTGGGGATGGCTGGTTTTATTATTATTAACATCTTTATTGACAAAATTAATTACAATTTTGCCTAATCTGAGGATTTTGATAGTCTTATTAAATTGAGGATAATGCTGGTATTCACTGTCACGCTAGTTATCTTGAGGTTATCTTGAGATGATTTCGGGCTTTTTAGTGTCCCCGCGGCCCGGTCCTCGACCAGGCCTCCACCCCCAGGAAGCAGCCCGTGACAGCTGACTAACACCCAGGTACCTGTTTTACTGCTAGGTAACAGGGGCATAGGGTGAAAGAAACTCTGCCCAATGTTTCTCGCCGGCGCCTGGATCGAACCCAGGACCACAGGATCACAAGTCCAGCGTGCTGTCCGCTCGGCCGACCGGCTCCTGATAGTGTTCTAGTGAATGCATTAAAGGTTTATCCTGGTGATATGGCTCATTGAGTACCGGAGTATCACAACCACCTCGGCACTCTTCAGAGTGTTCACAAGTAACTTGGGGAGTGCCATATAATCTGGGCACACCTCAGAGCGGAGTGTCACCCTATACCGGTCCCTAGAGTCTTGGAATCACTTTATATGCTCACCTAGTCGAGCTCTGGCTCTTTGGTCCCGCCTCATAGCTGTCCATCAACAGGTTCCTCTCTTAACCCTTCAAATGGTTTAGGAACTACTTCCTGGTGGATCTACCTCCTGGTGGATCTACCTCCAGGTGGATCTACCTCTTGGTGGAACTACCTCCTGGTGGATCTACCTCCTGGTGGAACTACCTCCTTATGGATCTAAATGCTGGTGGATCTACCTGCTGGTTGATCTACCTCCAGGTGGATCTACCTCCTGGTGGATCTACCTCCTGGTGGATCTACCTCCAGGTGGATCTACCTCCTGGTGGAACTACCTCCTGGTGGATCTACCTCCTGGTGGATCTACCTCCTGGTGGATCTACCTCCAGGTGGATCTACCTCCTGGTGGAACTACCTCCTGGTGGATCTACCTCCTGGTAGATCTACCTCCTGACGGAGTATCTGACAGAAAATGAGAGAGAGAGAGAGAGAGAGAGAGAGAGAGAGAGAGAGAGAGAGAGAGAGAGAGAGAGAGAGAGAGAGAGAGAGAGAGAGAGAGAGAGAGAGAGAGAGAGAGAGAGAGAGGGGGGGGGAGAGAGAGAGAGAGAGAGAGAGAGAGAGAGAGAGAAAGAGAGAGAGAGAGAGAGAGAGAGAGAGAGAGAGAGAGAGAGAGAGAGAGAGAGAGAGAGAGAGAGATGGAGGGGGGAGGAGAGATAGAGAGAGCATATACGTCTCTTCCCTCAGACATACTTACTTCATGGTCCACCTCCTGGCCCTCTCCGTCTTAGGAAGCATGAAGGAGTGAATGGTGTACCTCCCAGCCGACACCATCGTCACCTCGAGGCTGTGGTTCTCCTGGAAGTGCTGGCAGAACTCCTCGAGGGTGAAGTCGCCCTCCACCTCGAACCTGTCCCAGGGCGTCCATGTCACTCCGTTGTACTGGAGGAAGGATGGGGAACATTAGTGATATATTAGACGAGGGAGAGAGACTTTGCTAATGGAAAACATCTCGTTGAAAGTTAAAAAGATACCTCGTGATTTGCAGAGTATCTTAGAAGCAGGTTAGTAATAAGGTCGGCAGCAGCCACTTTATTCCACTAAAGTATTTCAAATGCATGAAGTATATCAAATTACATCTTTGATATATATATATATATATATATATATATATATATATATATATATATAAATATATATATATATATATATATATATATATATATATATATATATATATATATATATATATATATATATATATATGGATGGAGGCCAGACGCTTAGAGGTAGCCTCACCAAACTTTGCAAGGTGACTGGTGGTTGTTCATGGATGGTCATAAGCGGGTCAGGGGTCGACCCCCCCCCCCCCCCCTCATGCCCCTCTTTACAGGACATTAAGCCAATATCCGATCTCGCTAAATACTAAACTCCATTCTCACTAAGATTCATCCAGAACAATATTAGCTATATGATTATTCAATGTTAGTGGGTTTTATGTCCTTTGTTGATGAAACTGAGTAAATGGGAAAGGGTTGGGAAGGTGGTGAAGGGTAGTGAAGGTGGTGAAGGGTAGTGAGGGTAGGGAAGGTGGTGAAGGGTAGGGAAGGTGGTGAAGGGTAGGGAAGGTGGTGAAGGGTAGGGAAGGTGGTGAAGGGTTGGGAAGGTGGTGAAGGGCAGGGAAGGTGGTTAAGGGTAGTGAAGGTGGTGAAGGGCAGGGAAGGTGGTGAAGGGTAGTGAAGGTGGTGAAGGGTTGGGAAGGTGGTGAAGGGTAGTGAAGGTGGTGAAGGAGAGGGAAGGTGGTGAAGGGTAGGGAAGGTGGTGAAGGGTAGTGAATGTGGTGAAGGGCAGGGAAGGTGGTGAAGGGTAGGGAAGGTGGTGAAGGGTAGTGAATGTGGTGAAGGAGAGAGAAAGTAGTGATGATATGCACTATCGGATATCCCATTTATGACTGAGTGAAGCTGGTTACAGTGATGATGGTCGTGAGTAGCTTAGTTTCAGCATTAATGGTTGTGTGTAGTGAAGATTGTTGCAGTAACGAAGCCCGTGTAGTTAAGATGGTTACGGTGAGGAGAGTTGTGTTAAGATGGTTACCGTGAGCAAGATAGTGTGTAATAAAGATGGTTATAGTGATAATGGCCGTGTGTAGTGAAGATGGACCGAGTGATGATGGTTGTGTAGTAAAGATTGTTACAATGATGAAGGTGTTGCTTCCGTCACCTCAAGCACCACATGCACACATGACCGCAGCGGCAGCACAGTTACATCTCTGTCTTACCGTGTTCTCCGGAGCTGGCTCCGGCTGGGACACGCAGAACTTGCACAGCCCGAGGTTGAACTCGCTGTTCTTGTAGCACGTGATGTCCCTGTGCCCTTGGGCCACTTTGATGAGCTCCAAGGCCACCAGGCCGGAGACCAAAGCAGTTGAGGTCACGATGGCTGGGATGATGCGTCCGGCGATCCTCTTGCTCTTCTGTCGGTCTGCGGGTTCGATGGCATAGTTCGCTGCGCGCAGATTGGACGCCGCGACAATGAAGTCGATATGAAAGTTAGAGTCATCATCTTTTTCAAAGGTGAGGGGCGTGATGGACACTCCTGTAAGGTCCTCCGGCGGCGGGATGGCGTCGCGAAGGTCAGAGTGGGAGAGGATTTTCAACCGGTTAGTTAAGAGATCAGTTACAGACTCCTCCTCTTTCCTCTTGGGGACATACGGGGCGACAGATACTCCCGCCACGAGCTCCTTCGTCTTGAATTTGTCTCGCTCCTGTCGAATGCCATACACCTCCGCTCTGAGGTTGGCCGCAGCGTGGATGTAGTCGAGGTGGAGGTCGTCCTCTGCGTTGAACACAAGATGGCGGGGACAGCGCTTGGAGCCAGACCAAAAGGGCCCTCCGTTACTCATCCTGTAATCTGGAGGGAAGTAATGGAGAAGATCCAAAATCTGGTTATGGAACTGGTCTTGCCAGTGTCGCCGCGCCCACGTAACACAGTCCGTGTAGGACTTCGGGAGGTCGTCGACCAGCGCGCTCTTCAGCACCTCGAGAGTGTCGACATCCTGATGGTTGGGTAACTGGATGATCTCATCCATCTTCTTCGTCCCCGTGACGTATTGTTTTGCAGTCTGGGGAGAGTGAGAGAACTCTCCCTCAAACATGTCCCGCGCCCACTGGAGCGTGTGCTCTATGGCGCTGGGGAAGTTTCTCAGTGTGCACATTGGGATGGACTTCTCTGAGGGCGTCTGGAATATAACATAGCGCTCCGTGAGGTGCGGCACCACTACCTGCACGCTGCCGTTGGTGCCCAGCGTCCCAGACTCCAGTAGAGGCTTCTGGTACTGCCAGCAGCACCTGTCCATGTACCGCCTGGCCTCCACGTTGTCCAAGGCGTTGGCCACGCCGTCCACGCCCTCGTAGAAGGCGGCGTCGTACACGTGCTCAGTCTCCGGGCCCACGCGCACCTGGTGGGCAATGATGTTCACGTCGGGGTTCATCGTGCTGACGGCGGCTGCGGCCGTCGTAGACTTTGGCTTCTTGATATCCCACAGACGGAAGAGAAACTGCCGATTCAAATTACTCTTCTCGATGATGTCCATGTCAGTGACGGTGATACTTCCGCCCTCGCCAGTGCCCACCCCCAGCATGGCGAAATTCTTCAAGAGCTCGCAGCCAATGGCGCCGGCACCCACAACAAAGTATTTAAGCCTACCTAGTCTGTTCTGGAAGTCGCGGCCGAAGATAGCGACTTGGGCGTCGTAGCGGTCACCTCTTGGATCACAGGCGCCTCCGAGGAGCTTCGTGGTGTCCTCAGGAAGGCACTCCACGGCGTCAAAGTAGAGCCACTGAAACAAGGGCGTAAACTTTCCAGTACAAGCCTTCGTCACCTCCTGTGAGGCGACGCCACCAATCACAGCGTTTAGAGGCGCTAACTCGCCACTCGCCGTAAACGCAAACGTCCTCAACAAGTCTTCATTAACGTTCTCCACCTCAACTTTTCTTGACTCATTAACTTTATAAAACACTTGAAGGAACTGTGAGGCGTCTTGGTCACTCCAGGGCCTGGGTAGGGTGCCATGAAGAGCCAGGTACTCGTGGAGTGCCAGGAAGGCTACGTGAATCACACCTGACTCCTCCTCCTTGGCCACATCTACACATGTGATGCTCGGCTCTTCCAGCGACTCCTTCAGCGGTTTGAAAGTCATCGTCTTGCCCACCTTCACCTCCTTGGCCACACCGCCTCCTGCGTACTCCGGGAAGCTCCGAGTGTCTCCAATGCTGAAGCTGGAAGGACTCAACACCTGCAGCAGATACGTTTTGCTAATAACATTCCTCGCGGGAAGAAAAGGTTATAAACAACACTTTGATTATCATCATAAACACAAACACCTGTCGGTCTGAGGACTCCATCTCCTCACCTTAATTGCATGAGGGTGAGGCAGGTTGAGCTGGGTCATGCCCAGGGCACCGGAAAAGGTCACGAGGTCACCGTCTTTGAGCCCGTGGTATGTCTTTTCTGGCAGGGTCACTACTCCTTCCTCCTACAGGAGACACAAGCTCATCTTAGTGCGGTAATAAAGGATATGAGTGAGCAGGAATGGAAGATGAAGCGTAATTAAATACTGAACTCGTTCTCGTTCATCAGAAAACTGAGGAATTGAGTTTTTATATGAGTATTTAAATTATCCAGCCACCCCCAACCCCACCATCTCTCTCTCTCTCTCTCTCTCTCTCTCTCTCTCTCTCTCTCTCTCTCTCTCTCTCTCTCTCTCTCTCTCTCTCTCTCTCTCTCTCTCTCTCTCTCTCTCTCTCTCTCTCTCTCACTCACTCACTCACCTCTCTAGTAACACTCTCGACGAGGAAGCTGGCCGGCTCCTTGCCGTTCGGATCCAGGACTTGAAAATCCTCACCAAAGTCGCAGAAGACGTTACCAAAGAGCCCCCTGGAGGAGGCCACGATCAGAGCGACGCCGTGGCTCCTACACTCCGACGACACCGCCAGCTGCTCCTTCAGGCTGGAGTCTGAGACACGTATAAATGTGGGCAGGTGTGAATGGGAAAGTAAGGCAGGAGTCAGGAAACAGGTGTGGATTAACAGGTGTGAATGGAAATACACGGCAGAATCATGACAAAAGATAGATTTATGATTTAGTTACCTGCTGAGAAATGAGGACCGGAATATCACTACGATACATTATGTCAAATATTCGTCGAGTGTCACTTGTAGCAACATATTTACTTAAGAAGTATATATGTGTGTGTGTGTGTCGTAATAATTAATGAAAAGGTGTTGTTTGGTCCATAATATTTCCAGTAGCAGAATGGCTGTGACATAATAAATCCTAAAGGAGTGTCACGTGTACTATATTATATCCTAAAGGAGTGTCACGTGTACTACCTTGAGGTTACCTTGAGGTGCTTCCGGGGCTTAGCGTCCCCGCGGCCCGGTCGTCGACCAGGCCTCCTGGTTGCCGGACTGATCAACCAGGCTGTTGGACGCGGCTGCTCGCAGCCTGACGTATGAGTCACAGCCTGGTTGATCAGGTATCCTTTGGAGGTACTATATTATATCCTAAAGGAGTGTCGTGTGTACTATACAGTATTATATCCTAAAAGAGTGTCGAATGCGTCATAATATTCCATAGTGTCATTTATGTTATTATATATCTAACAGCAGTGTAGCTAGTCACAATATTCCAAAAATAATATCACCAGTGTTATATAGCATTTCTTAAAGGAGCGTCACACACCTGTAAGAACGACAACCTTATACTGCTGGATCAGTTCCCCATCCAGAGGTCGCTTCGTGGTCGTCACCGGGACGTAATGGTTGAGTTCCGCCAGACGACCGCAGCACGACTCCGCCCTGTTCCTCCCGAGGTCGTCACAACTCAGGAAAAATTGGGTGGACAGGTCGTGGAGAGTCGTCTCCCTCGTGTCGTGTAATGTCACCGACTTCACCCCGCTCAGGATGACATTCTTAGCGATCTAAGGAAGGTAAGGTGGGAGGAGCTACTTTATAGGCTTTTATGCTTGGTGAGTGGATACTGGAGGTTAATATGCTTGGTGAGTGGATACTGGAGGTTAATATGCTTGGTGAGTGGGTACTGGAGGTTATATGCTTGGTGAGTGAGTACTGGAGGTTATATGCTTGGTGAGTGGGTACTGGAGGTTAATATGCTTGGTGAGTGGGTACTGGAGGTTAATATGCTTGGTGAGTGGGTACTGGAGGTTATATGCTTGGTGAGTGGGTACTGGAGGTTATATGCTTGGTGAGTGGGTGCGAGAGGTTATATGCTTGGTGAGTGGGTACGGGAGGTTATATGCTTGGTGAGTGGGTGCGAGAGGTTATATGCTTGGTGAGTGGGTACGGGAGGATATATGCTTGGTGAGTGGGTACTGGAGGTTATATGCTTGGTGAGTGGGTACTGGAGGTTATATGCTTGGTGAGTGGGTACGGGAGGTTATATGCTTGGTGAGTGGGTACTGGAGGTTATATGCTTGGTGAGTGGGTACGAGAGGTTATATGCTTGGTGAGTGGGCACGGGAGGTTATATGCTTGGTGAGTGGGTACTGGAGGTTATATGCTTGGTGAGTGGGTACTGGAGGTTATATGCTTGGTGAGTGGGTGTGACTTCGGAAAGGCATCTACAGACCTCAGAATGATCTCTACTGACCCCGGAATGACGTTTACTGACCCCAAAATGACCCTATCGAACCTGGAATAACCTGTACTGACCTCGACGCCCAGGCCTCCCAGGCCAGAGACGAGGACGCTGGCGGAGGCCATCCTAGAGGCGGCGTCGTGACCCAAGACGTAAAGCTGACGCGAGTACAGCTCCTCGTCCAGCCGAGTCTCAGCCATCTTCCTCCTGTAGAAGGGACAGTCAAACCTTCAGAGGAGAGAGAGACAGTGAACTATGTATTCCTGTTCGATCTCGGTACATAAAGAGTGCCAGTACTCACCCAAGTGGTCGTCCGTGAGAGGAAAGTAGCAGCAGTACACACCCTGCCCCTGACCACACCCACACTCACACCCAAGGCACGCTACACCCAGGCTCCCGCCCGCCAGAGTAACCTGCCCCAGCGCACACAACTGCCAGCGTACCAAAACCCTCTTCACCTGCCTGGACGATCGTCAGCTCTCACTTCTTGTACACTTGTTGAGACTTTCTCTTTGTTCCACAATGTTAAGTTTTATATCGCCATCGCATATTAGAGATCCCCGTGTTGGATGTCTATAAATATACATATATATACATTCTCTGTCACGTTGGTAATAATGTCAGTATGCAAGATTATCTATGATAAGGTATCGAGGCCAGCCCAACGCTCACTCAAGCACCTCTGCTTCCACCCTGAGCTGTGGTCTGACTGGCACACCCTGAGCTGTGTCCTGACTGGTACACCCTGAGCTGTGTCCTGACTGGTACACCCTGAGCTGTGTCCTGACTGGTACACCCTGAGCTGTATCCTGACTGGTACACCCTGAGCTGTGTCCTGACTGGTACACCCTGAGCTGTGTCCTGACTGGTACACCCTGAGCTGTGTCCTGACTGGTACACCCTGAGCTGTATCCTGACTGGTACACCCTGAGCTGTGTCCTGACTGGTACACCCTGAGCTGTGTCCTGACTGGTACACCCTGAGCTGTGTCCTGACTGGTACACCCTGAGCTGTGTCCTGACTGGTACACCCTGAGCTGTGTCCTGACTGGTACACCCTGAGCTGTGTCCTGACTGGTACACCCTGAGCTGTGTCCTGACTGGTACACCCTGAGCTGTATCCTGACTGGTACACCCTGAGCTGTGTCCTGACTGGTACACCCTGAGCTGTGTCCTGACTGGTACACCCTGAGCTGTGTCCTGACTGGTACACCCTGAGCTGTGTCCTGACTGGTACACCCTGAGCTGTGTCCTGACTGGTACACCCTGAGCTGTATCCTGACTGGTACACGCTGCTGAGGCAGACACTCTGACTGTTGCCATCAGAGGCTGCTCTGCTAGCTTATTATACCTCTAACTCGTCCTGTGAGCGGTAACGCAAAAAAAGGTTTACAGAGGGCACAAAAGCTCTTAATCAGACCTCGGCGCAAATTTTTACATTAATAATTGCATTTAACCTAGTTATCTAAGTTATCTAGTTAACCTAAGCTAGTTACAAACTTTTAAATTGCAACATTTATGAATTTACAATAAATTATTATATATTGAGGGGGTAGTTCTTTTGCAAACACCTAAAAATAATTTAAATATGGGGTCTTACAGCATCATAGAAGATCTGCTGTTTATTATTACCAATCCACACTGCACAGTTTATACGCAGGAAATGTATATGTTGATCTCTCAGAATGTTTGGTAATATGTTTATTGTTTGTGATGTGTGTCTATGTATGTATTAACACGATGTACTGAACGGGGTGAGAATAGCTTGAACTACCTCATCCCTTTGTGTGTATTTTACCTCAATAAACTTATTTCAATTTCAATTTCAGTTTATACGCTAGCCTCACATGTCATTTATCTGGAGGAAGCGAAATATGGATACAGTGCAAGGATTTTAGGTATTTTAGTGTGTGTCCCTTTGTCCACACCCTTTACACTTTACCTCAACTAGATCTATTTATTTATTTATTTATTTATGTACAGGAAGTTACATTGGTGGTTAACAGAGAATATAGAAAATATGTTGAATTAACATTCTTGTAAATCCACTAGCACGCATAGCGTTTCGGGCAACATACATCATCTATATGCAAGTCGTACTGCCAAGTCGTGTTAGAGCAGTGATGACGTCTGTTACTTCATTATGTGACCCATACACATGTTTTGTTTGACACATTTTACTGGGTTAAATAATGGATCTTCAGTTCCTGTTTGCACTGTCGTGCTTTGAGGGTAGAACCAGGCCCCCTGTGGCGGCGGGTCGACGCTTATGCGTGGGCAAGACTGATAACATAAGATATCTTGGTCCACGACTGTGATTTGCTTGGGAAGAGAACGATTATTTATTAAGTATTTAGTTTGGTTTTAGGCAAAGATTTATCAATAATTTACGCATTCTCATACGCAACCTGTACATCTTTCCTGGTTTACGGCAGCTGTTCTGAATGTATGAAAAAGTTTACGATCTTTTCAATTCTGCATCCCAAAGTTATTATTATTATTATTATTATTATTATTATTATTATTATTATTATTATTATTATTATTATTATTATTATAGACTGTTAAATAAATTAAAACTAATTCGCCATAATTGAGGAAAGTTGTAAATGTTTCACAAGTGGACACAAATGTTCGAAGAATCTCAGCCAAGGATAGAAAAGCAGAAGTCTCGCCTACTACTCTCCTCTCTCAGTAGATATTAGAAGTAGATGATATTACGAGACAGTTTTACTACCAATATTGTACTGGGTGCAGTCACTGATAATTTTAGGGTTCAAGTCCTGAACCTATATCATATGTACCTCTTGAACTTTTATGGGCTCCGCTACCATTCACAGAATGGTATGGGGTCCACTGCTGCTGACAGGATGGATAAGGGGTCCACTACCATTCACAGGATGGGTATGGGGTCCATTACCACTCACAGGATGGGTATGGGGTCCACTACCACTCACAGGATGGGTATGGGGTCCACTATACCACTCAAAGAATGGGTATGGGGTCCACTACCACTCACAGGATGGGTATGGGGTCCACTATACCACTCAAAGAATGGGTATGGGGTCCACTATACCACTCAAAGAATGGGTATGGGGTCCACTACCACTCACAGGATGGGTATGGGGTCCACTATACCACTCAAAGAATGGGTATGGGGTCCACTACCACCCACAGGATGGGTATGGGGTCCACTACCACTCACAGGATGGGTATGGGGTCCATTACCACTCACAGGATGGTATGGTGACCGATGTAACTCACAGGCTAGGTGCCGGGTGCAGATAAATGAACACAACTAACTATACTCGTTATAATTAGCTCATCAGTGTCTATCTGTCGTTGTTTGAGTCCCCAAGTACATGTTTTAAGAGTCTAACATGAACACGTTCTTTAAGTTCCAAAGAACCAGTTATGAAACAATGATAAATATCCTTAACTGAAGTGCCCCCATTACTGATGTACCAAGTCCTGGTCAGAACCGTGTAAAAAGCGGATCTTATTTCGTGGAATGAGCAATAAACTCCTAGATTGCTTATCAGCCGATATCGTATTCGAGGAATGTGTTCAGCTAATCTTTGGCCAGCAGGACAAGATGGCGCTAGACAGGATCTAAATTATCACACTCGGTATACGTGTACGTGACTTTGAAAAAGCAATAAGAAGGCTTCATATGAAAGATATGATTGATCCAGAAAAATGGATATGAAGGTATATTTAGCCAGCGGAATGAGTTAGTAAGCGAGTTGGGTCATTCCAGTAGCCTCGTCCATTTATTTGGGCTTCCTTCCTGCTTCGCCAGCTCAATCATTTATATTTTATTGATATATATATATATTCAAGAGTTGTTACATTCTTGTACAGCCACTAGCACGCATAGCGTTTCAGGCAAGTCATTAATCCTAATTTTTCCCGGAATACGACCCGCCAAATCGTTAAACAACCAGGTACCCATTTTACTGCTGGGTAAACAGAGGCTACAGTTAATTAAGGATTGACGCCCAGTAAATCCTCCCCGGCCAGGATACGAACCCAGGCCAAAGCATTTGTGAAGCACAGTGCAAGTGTTTTACCACTACGCCACGGGGACTCTAAAATCATCGGTGTAATATCTTATCTGTTGCTTTAAATGTTGTAGGATTTAGCCAAAATAGTTTTGCAAGGTACATTAAGCCCGTGTTGTGCAGATTCATCGAGCATTTACGCAATCTCTTCCAAAACCTGTACTTCTTTCCTTAATCAAGACTGCTTTATGTTTATTAAAAGTTTACAACCTTGGAAACTTCCCAAGGTTATTATTATTGTTATATACAGTCTCGTAGCGCGTCGGAACTCATAAAATATTTAATAAATGTCCAGGATACTGTAACAGTTCCAGACAGGGTATATTTTATTCCCCACATTCATTTTTAATGATATTTGAATTATTAAAGCGACTCCAGTTAAACAGGTTGCTTTAACCCAAAAGCGGTTAAATAAACCCACAAACCCTTGATCAGAGACTGGGCCGCGGGGACATTGATCCTGGGAACCAACTCCGCCTGTCCTCAGGTCAGGTAGTAATGCAGGTGAAAAAGATAATATCTTGTTCTCTCAGTATCTTCAATTGTGATTATAATCTAATCTTATTATTAAATATTTAACACAGTGGACATTAAAAAACAGAGTATTATATAATTGTATTGTGTCATTAGTCAAATCAAATTGGTTATGCTTTTAAATATAATCATTGTAAGTATGAATTACAAGTAATCATTGTAAATGTAACGAAGAAGATAGTAATCATTATAGACTATCATTATAGTTGCCTGCCTTCAGAATCATCATGGTGGCGAATATTATTAAGTTTCTGCCGGAGTAATATAGTCTAAGGTTGCCTCAGGATCTTTTAAACTGGATGCCGGTAAATTGGAGCTGGTATTATGATCGTTAGAAACATATATGTTAGGTTATAAACCCTTATATACATTATATCATTGTTAACACTAGGCTCTAAACAGTATTAATATTGTCAACATTCCTATATATAGCCTCATCTCATAATGTTTACTCATAAACATTAACACTCTTGAAGTCAGCTCATAAAATGCAATATTAACTATTCTATAAGGAACACCGTTGCGACTCCACTGCATCAGGAAGATTGTGCTCCTGTAATTAATTAAATGGAGCTGTGTGGGGACCTGACATAGGAAGACCTGGTGGGACCTGACATAGGAAGACCTGGTAGGACCTGACATAGGAAGACCTGGTGGGACCTGACATAGGAAGACCTGGTAGGACCTGACAAACGAGGCTGTGGGAACAACAGTACATGATAATATTCAACATCAGCAGAGTGAAGGAATGGCGATTATAAACTAAAGATACAAAAGTTTTTACAAAATGTTACAAATTATGAAAAAAGGAACAAATATCACCACGTGAACATAGTCCGAAGCAGAGAGGTTTGGTCTCAATAGAGGGTAGACGAGAGTCATCACATTATATCAGCAGTAGCCAACCATAGCTCAATTAGTCTGGCCAGCCATGGCTCCTGTTGTTTGGCCAGCCATAGCGTCATTAGTCTGGCCAGCCATAGCTCCTATCGTCTCCTGATCCGCCCTGCCACCCACGTACTTCGTAGACATCTGAATTATATTCCCGGTGACGATGTTATAGTCCTGAAGGGTCTTGAGGTCATCGAGTCGACGTCCACGAAAGAGGAGGCGGGTGTTCTCCGGAGCGATGCCGTACTGCGCTTGCAACACGCTCTTCAGGTCTTTGACGCTCGAGGTGGGCTGAATCTGAAGACGGAACTGCTGGTCTGTAAGGTCCTTCACAACGATGGCTATAGCACCCTGTAAGACAGATGGAGGAGGTAGTATACATACCGCGAGAAGAGTGGGTATACATTTCGTGAAATGTAAGGACGTGGTATACATATTTTGATCTAGCCCGGAGATCTTGCTCCACTCTCTACAAATTATCTTCATTGACATAACTACACTTCATATAGAAAATCAACACTTTAAAGCCTAAGTTCTATGAACAAATCCACAAGGGCCGTGATGAGGGTTCTAGCCTACATCCGAGAGGCTCCCAGATTCATTTGATGTATCACGCTATTGGGATTTCTGTGTGTCTAAGTTCAATGAATCACAATTAAAGATACAGCAATTCGTGCAAAATATTTAGGGTTGGCCTTATGACCTATCAACCTCAAGACTAGGATTATTAAAGCCACCAAAATAACTTGCTGACTAACCAGTAATTATAATTTGATTCTGAACATGATACAGTATTAAAGCAACCAGCTTACTGACCAATCATTAAGAATACTTTAGTCCTAAACATGGTCTAGGAACTAAAGCAAACTCTTAAGTGTATATACACACTGAAACGGGATACACCTCTCGGTATGTATCAACCTTGTCTTATAGCGAGAATAAATGTATAATTTTGTCTGAACGCTTCCCAGTATACACGATAAGCAGTAGATATGTATACCAAGATGGCTTGCACCTGATTAGGAAATTATTGATCTATCCAAGCAAATAACAATGTATTCTAGTATGTATGTGAATGCATCTAAATAAATTCTAGCATACATCTAAATGCATTCTAGCATTCGTCTGAATAAATTATAAAACTAATAATCTCAAACTGTCCCAACACTTAAACTATTAATAATTATTAGAAAAATGATTCGCTTTGATATCGTAATTTAGCCTAATGTTTTTCTTATATTAAAGGAAGAAAAGCGTCTTACATTCCACAAGAATAAAGGAATACGTCATATTGTAACACAACAAGGTCCTCCAACGGATTTTAAAGCCTACCAAACTATACCCAACCTGATCTAGCCAAGCCTAACCTACGCTAATTTATCCTAGAAAATTTGTTTACTGAGAATTATATAAAATTTATATAAATATTATAATTTCCCCTGTAAATTGATGTTATTAAATAAAGAAAAAACATTTATCCTAGCCAAATGAAACTATGAAATTATGACACTTAAAAAAACTAGTTTTGTCGAAAATTCAGTGTGTTGTGACCATAACAATGCTGCCAGTTTACAGAAGGTGATTGTAGTGCTTTTAAAATGCTACATATGTAGTTTAGCCTAGCATTTTAAAAGCACTACAATCACCTTCTATGGTTGATTGTTCAATAAATCCCTGAACTGTATGTTGGACAAATCTCTCACCCTGTCCATGGAGGACAAATGTATATATGCTGTAAATGTGTGGCCACGTCTGTGGTAGAAAATAATGATAATAAAAAAAAAAGTTTAGAGGACGTACCTTTGGAGGCGGTCCAAAACCTGCCGGAGAAATCTCCGATCCCGAGACACTTCTCGTCCCAGTCACGCTGGCCGTCATGAGGTCATAGTTCACGGTCAGGCTGTCTATCCCCGGCTGCTCGTGGGTCTTGCGACAAGTCGGGCACTTCACCATGCCGGCAGTATCTTTGAGCTTGATGAGGCACGCCCTGCAGAAGCTGTGGCCGCAATGTAGGGAGAGCGGCTCCTTGCTTCCAGGAGAGTAGGAGTCGCTACACACCTTGCACTTCGGGGCCATGGTCGCCTGCTGCTCTCAGGTGGTCCAAGATCACTGTATGTGGATCACTCAACTGTTCCTGCCTGCGGTGATGAAACGTTTAGGTTACTGATTCGTGAATTATTAAACTTACCTGGTATATATTTAAGGATTTTTATGTGTTTTTTGGATAAACCATATACATACGTCAGTAAACCCAAACTTAATTGTTAACTAATGATATATAGCCTCCAGCATATCCTAGCTTATCCATTAACTAACCATATATCTCCTCCGCCATACTCTAACTTATCCGTTAAACTTACCAAACATAACCTTGTTTAACAGAACGTAACGTTGCCTAACCAAACGCATCGTGATCTAACCAAACGTAACATGGCCTAACTTATCCTAATTAACACAAGGAAGTCTAGAAAACAGTGATTGTTGGGGGTAGATTTGGAAATGGGGGCGACTCGTCCTCAGACCTCCACATGACTAACACCTGAAAGTTCATTAAGTGAATTGGATCTTGACTCTCATAACTCACAGAGACAACTTACGACGAAATAACACTCTCCTGTAACGGTACAACACAAGAGGGGTAACTTACCTGCACAGGACGTCCACACCGCACTTCAGTAACGAAATATTGTGTGCAGCCTGACAGTACTGGTGGAGGGAGATACGGGCAGACAGATAAGACATCGCGCGATAAAATTGATGATAAACTTAGGCACAGACTCTGGCTTGTGTAGAAGATATGATTCCTGTGGAAACCTAGAACAAATGACAGTTATAGCTGTAGAAATGGAATGGAAGCCCTTGACAAAATGTAGTCATAATAAAATGACTCGAAAATGTACTATACTCGAAAAAATGTAAATATATATATGAAAATGTAATATACTCGAAAATGCAGCCAATATATTTAGTGATTTCAAAATTATTTCATATAGCTACTTTATACAAATTCACGAATTTGTATAAAGAATATGCAGATTGAACTTAATCCTTAACTCAGATTAAGACTTATTTTCGCCCTTAGAATTTGTGTTGTGTTATTGGTTGGGTTGCCTCGTGCCTATTCACCCTCCCTAATCTCCAAATTAGAATTAGCACTTGTGTTCATTGTTTTAGTTTTTCATAGTAACACATTTTTCACACAGTGGTATATATATATATATATATATATATATATATATATATATATATATATATATATATATATATATATATATATATATATATATATATATATATATATATATGTGTGTGTGTGTAGTGCCTCGCAGATATCAAGCCGCCTGCTATCGCTGTATCTATCGATGATTTCCGTGTTTTTTTTTAAGACTTCTCTGGTGATGGTCTGGTTGTGGGAAGAGACATATAATCTCTTCCCACAACCAGACCATCACCAGAGAAGTCTTAACAAAAAACACGGAAATCATCGATAGATACAGCGATAGCAGGCGGCTTGACATCTGCAAGGCACTACACATTAAGAAGTCAACACCAGCAATCAACAGCCAATTAATGCACAACTATATTCTACCCACTTCAAGACTCCGCACCAATATAGAAGCATCAAGAAATATGGGCCAATAGGCCCTTTGCATTTACTTTCATTCTTCCCCTTTAACTTTACCCAGTATTACCCAATATTTCGTGTTCTATCTTGTGTTGAAAGTTTGTTTTCACCTCATCCAAAACTGTTGTAACATATCACCTCACCCAAATGCAGGTATATAAAATGAAAAGCCGAATATTATAGCATAGTAAGAAATCTGTTTTATTGTTTGCAGGTTATAGTTGTGTGTGTGTAAACTAAAGTCTTTGAAAATGTAATAAGTTATTACGAAACGCGTTCAAGTGTTGCGTCAGACTAGAAATATAAATGAATTTTGGAGAACTGATTTTTCAATTACCATCGACAGTGAAAAGAACCATAAGAAATATTGAGAAAATTCGTGTTAGAATCATTAATCTTACTTTTTCGGTCATATTTAATAATATATATATATATATATATATATATATATATATATATATATATATATATATATATATATATATATATATATATATATATATATATATATATATATATATATATATATATATATATATATATATATATATATATATATATATATATTATATATATATATATATATATATATATATATATACAGAGGCCTAGGACGTTTCTCGGTGTACATGCACTGAGAGCTTACTTTCGTCCTGGTATTTTTTCAGTATTAAAGGTTTACAGCTGGTTAATCAGCTATTGCGAAGGTTTTAATAATCAACCTCTCTTTTCCTCAGTCACACACACAAACACACATACAGACTTTAACCCTGACAAATGCAAGGTTATGAGGATAGGAGTTAGAGCAAGAAGACCTCAAATACAATATAGGATGAAAGGAAGGCAACTTCCAACTTTTGAAAAAGAGAAAGACTTAGGAGTGGACATAACTCGAAATCTAACACCGTAGGCACAAATCAGCAGAATAACGATGGCAGGATATTCCATACTGGCAAACGTCTGGTTATCCAGACGTACGTTTATGTTACGTTGTTGGGTTGATTAGATACACAGTGTTTAGTGAGTTTCATATTTATTTAGTAGTCCTGGATACAGCAGTGTCGTAGATGTTGAGACAAAGCCTGGAGCAGAGCAGAGAGCTGAGTGTGGCCGGAGTCGTGGAGCTCTATGTGGGAGAGCGTGGCGGCTCGATACACTGTATACATCCTTACTATTGAGAACTATTATTGAGTATGCTGTCACAGCATGGAACCACTACCAGAAGCATGGAAATAAATACAAAACTTAACTAAAAAAAATGTCCAACATGACATGTTCCTGAGCTAAGGGGACCAAGCTATGAAGAAACACTGAGGGAAATGGACCTCACTACACTGGAGGAAAGGAGGAATAAGGCAGACATGATAACAACATACTAGATACTAAGGGGAATTGACAAATTAGATATATAAGCAATTTTCAAACTAAGGAGAAGTAGAACGAGAGGACATAACTGGAAACTGAAAACACAGATGAGTCACAGAGATGCCAGAAATGGTTCAGTCCAAGTCGTAAATAAGTGGAAAGGACTAGGTGAGGAAGTTGTCGAAGCCAGTTCGATATACAACTTGAAATGTAAATAGCATAAGAAAAAATACACTTTCTCCCACCACATCGGCCATTTCCAACCATTGTCTTATCTGTGTTATCAGCGATGGAGGGCGGCGAGGGAGCGCAGCGATATGGCACTCTGCTACACCTCGTATCCCCACCTGGACCCTTGGGTTCGACTCCCAAACGCCGGCTAGTCTCTCGTCTCAACGATTACCGTGGACAGGTCAGCGTTCTTGTTGTTAAGGTAAGAGACTGGTTTTTAGTTTAGAATCAGGAATAGTGTAATCATGTTAACTCAGCTCATTTTTTCTCCAATTTGGTGAGCTTATTTTCACTTATATTTCATTTGGGCTGGACGGTAGAGCGACGGTCTCGCTTCATGCAGGTCGGCGTTCAATCCCCGACCATCCGAATGGTCGGGCACCATTCCTTTTTCCCCCGTCCCATCCCAAGTGCTATGTAGTCGTAATGGGTTGGCGTTTTTCCCCTGATAATACAATTCAATTAAATTTCAAGTGGATACCTGAAAATGATGTGCGATATTGGTAGTTATAACACATCAGTACTTAGTACTATAAAGTCTGTTGAAAACGTAATTTAGTTATGCAGAAATTTAAACATTAAAAGAATTTAATAATTAAACAAATTAAAAGAATTTAATAATTAAACAAATTAAAAGAATTTAATAATTGAACAAATTAAAAGAATTTAATAATTAAACAAATTAAAAGAATTTAATAATTAAACAAATTAAAAGAATTTAATAATTAAACAAATTAAAAGAATTTAATAATTATACAAATTAAAAGAATTTAATAATTAAACAAATTAAAAGAATTTAATAATTAAACAAATTGCATATGTTTTCTTCTTGCATTACGTGTGTTATCTCACCTGCAGGTGTGCAGGCGTCTCGCTGCGTCATCAGTCATGGCTTTGAAAAGGATTAACAAGGTATGTCTATTAACTTCCATTATATTACAATACATAAAGTAATATATTTAGCCTTGATAGTTAAAATCTAAGAAGGGCTTTTTGATGAAGATGAGAGCATAGTTATGATTAATCTGAATACAAAGGAATCTAAATGGTGAAAATGACATATATGTATTTATGTAAATAAGTGCTTTCTAAAAGAGTCGAATAAACTACCAAGTAATATTATTACAGCAAATGTCTTTGACAAGATATCAAAATGTAATACAAGTAAATATAACTGTGAGTCAGTAAAAAATACTTCGCTGGGAACAGTAGGCCTGCTGTAGTGGTCCTATCTAGCTTCGGTCAATAGGCTTGCTGCAGGTTTTATTTCTTATGATATTATTGGGAAAATTTAAACCGCATCTGTGATTCCAGACACATATATATTCAGAAAACTGTATTTCTAGTTATTTCTAAATTTGCTACAATCCTGAACTTTGAAATTAATTATACATCGAAGTTTGTGGTTTTTATCGTCCAGGCAGTCCATAGGCCTGAGAAATTCTTGAGACAATAAGTAGAGTAATGAGATAATTATTATAGGGATTTTCTTTTGTGATTTGGACAAACAGTTCTTTGTAGTTTTATTTAATAACTATTAAAAAATGTGTGTAATGAATTGTGATTTATTATTAAAATTCCAAATAATAATTCAAAGCTGACGAATTATTTTGGCCTGCTAATGAATTTATTCATTTTTGTGTAGTTGGAAGAGAAGAGGGTTGAAATTTTTATTACAAAATTTAAAATTAAGGCAGTTATTTGAATTAATATTTATTTAATAATATGATATACAAATATCAATACGGTTCAATAAATATTTAGGCTTCTCCAGCTGTTTCAGTTTTCCAAATAAAAATTTTGTAAATTTCATAATTAATCTCTCACAGCCAACACCTCATCACTTAATGAGGTTATGGAACTGCCAACACTAGCTGTCATCTGGAGGACTGATTCAACATATCAGACGAGACATTAATGAGGTCACCTGCCTACAGAACACCTCAATTATTTTAATTTCTAAACAATTGTTTTTTAAATTATGAACGGAGTTTGCTTCTACAACCTGTTCCTTTAGCTCTCTTTCTCTCTCTCTCTCTCTCTCTCTCTCTCTCTCTCTCTTCTGGAAATACAGAAGCCATTTTCCATTGCTGCTCAGCAGTTTGTTAAAGTATCTTGGAGAATCCTACAATACTCCTCTGTCTCATCTCATTCATTTTGCATTGTCTATAAACAGACATATAAGACTTAATTCCTGTAAATAGTTCATTAACAAAAAGGATAAAGAGTATTGGTCCCAGCATCGATCCTTGAGGTACTCCGCTTGTTACCTGCTCCAGTCCGACTTCTTACCTTTCCCTGTCACCTCTCTGATTCCTATCTGTTACATGTTTTCATACCCATGTCAGTGTTCTTCCTCTGATTCGCGGCTGCCTCTCATGTTTGTGTAGTAATCTCTTGTGAGGTATTGTGCCGAAAGCTTTTTGGCAGTTTAGAATTATGCAATGTTCCAAATCTTCTCTGTCCTGCCTTTTTTCGTTACTTTTTCGCAGAACTCCAGTAGATGCATATGTGTTTAGAATGTGTGTGAGTTTACCTGAAAGCCACTAACACTAGTGGCCTCGACGCGGACAGGAAGCCGGCGGCTTGTCGAAGGTCCCCTCATTTGCCTTGATGATCTTTTTTAGCTGTACTGTACTTTAAAACCCAACAGAGTTTTGGCATTAACTGCAGTAATGGGTAGGCGGTTCCATGGGTTAATAACCCTGTGGGTGAAAAAGCATCTCCTGTTCTCTGTCCTGCAGTGTGGCTTGTTGAGCTTGAAACCGTTGCTCCTTGTTTGTGTTACACCTGACCTTTTGAAGAAATTTTCTGGACCAACATCCTCCAAATTGTTCAGTATTTTAAAGTTTTGATGAGATCAACCCTGTCATGCCTGGTTTGTAGTGTTGTTAGCCCTGTGGCCCTCAACCGTTCCTGATACGTGAGTTGACTTAGCTCTGGAATGATTTTTATTGTCCGGTGTTGCACTTTCTCCAGAGCAGCTATATCCTTCTGAAGATGAGGTCTCCATGCTTGGATACAGTAATCCAAATGGGGGCGCACCAGAGATTTGTACAATTGAATCACTACCTTCTTTGTCTTGAAGTCAAAGGTACACTTGATTATTCCAATGGTTTGATTAGCATTTTTTACTGCAACTCCCACTGCTGTGCAACATTCAATGAGTGGTGGATTTTGACTCTAAGGTCCTTTTTCCTAATCAGTCTGCTGCAATGTAGTGTTATTGATTTAGGAGTTATGGAGTGCATTGTTATGCAAAATGCAGAGTCTTGAATTTTTCTATATTAAAAAGCATTTGTAAGTCTTCTGAATATTTGTGGAGTTATGTAGATTACGATCCCTTCAACTGTCAGGCCACCATCATGGGGCCGCCCGACACCCCATACGAAGGAGGACTTTTCGACCTGAGGATTGACTTTCCTGCTGACTATCCCTTCAAGCCCCCGAAGGTAAGGTCACCTATGGAAGAAGAAGCTCCACAAACGCCTGCTCAATCCAACTCTGTGTAATCTGTATAATATTTACTTTCTTGTATGCTTCGTTGTCATCTTTTGGTCTGTTTATCTTCTCTTGCTAAATTCAAAATAGTATAATTATACAAAATAATGCTTTAGTTTATGCCTTTACATTCTGGAGTTGACTAAATGAAAATTTATTCTGGAGTTTATTAAATGAAAATAAACTGTAATTTTGTATAACGGCAAATTTTTTCCGGGGTAAACAAAATTGAATCTGAAAGCGCAGGTGTGGTTCGTTACGCCCATCTACCACCCAAACATCAGCGACAGGGGCACCATCTGTCTGGACATCATAGACAAGAACTGGAGCCCAACACTTTCCATCTCCAAAGGTAAGTCCGGGATCTAATGTTGCTTCTTCCTACATCACGCGGCTCATCATGGTCAGTGACGAGTCTAACTTCATCAGTGAAGTTTGGTTTTTACCAATTTGTATACGTGTCCCATTTGCAATATCATCGTTGCCTCTTATTACCACTCCTCTCCTCAGTGTTGCTCACCATCTGCGCTCTGCTGACGGATCCCAACCCTGATGACCCGTGGAGGAAGGACATCGCGGATATCTACAAGAGCGACAGAGCCAAATACGAGTATTTAGCGCGGGAGTGGACCCAGAAGTACGCCTCGAGCTAAGAGAAGCCTTCCTGAGAGCGAGACTTGAGGTTCTCTGACATCGAAGTGCGCGAAGAGTCACGAGAATCTTTTCTCTAGATTCTTAACACATCGGCTTTATGAATTGTGACTGATATATGTGTGTGTCATTTGTTCCCTCAGTTGACGAAGTGGTTGGTGTGTGTGGGAAATATTATTTTTAATGTATATTAATACGTAAATTACACATTTATTGGAAGTTTTAATTAGAATTAGCATTATTATGACATGATATTATTGTTGAGACAATAATTACACATATTTCAATAAACTTAAAACTTCTTTTGTCAATTTTTTTCAACATAAAAAATTAATATATGGTACACACTTGTAACCATAATACATGTTAAATTTATTTAATTCAGTGTATCCCCCATGTCAATCCCCACCACCCATTCTCCATACCCAGACCCATCCAGTAGGTAGGTGGCAGAAAGATTACTGCTGTTCTTGTTTTAGATTCAGCTACTTGGAACAAAAAGTTCCAAGCAGCACGGGCTATGGTGAGCCCGTAGTGGACTTACCTGGCACAGGAACGGGGCTGTAACTGAGAAAGGTTACGTTTACATGAGTACATAAGCAGTTACAGTCACATATAGCAACCAATCCTCCTGCTTATATAGTGCTATATGTAACTATATGCACCATAGTACATATATATTGACGTAAAAGGCAATTAGATAGTAGAATTTAGTACTATTCCGACAAAAATAAAGCTAAAAACAAACTTAGATATTCCTAGGTCTAGTATAGCACATATATGTACTATATTATTCCTTAGATAGCGTGTATTAGGCCAAGGAACGCCAACACCCACACATGGTGTCAGCAAGGCGGACAGCCCGCCTGCTTTCATACCTCTCACTGTATTTCCCACTTCTATACTTCCCTTCACCTATGCCTCTCCTTCCTCTTTACTCCCCAAAAAAAAGGCCAAGGAAAGTTAGATTAATTTAGTTTGTCTTTGCAACATAAAAAAAACTTTTCCGGTTTGTCCAAATTCAAAAATAACGATTTTCTAATTGTCCATTACGTCATATACGTACTATGGTCCTCGTCGTTACTATCAGTACTAATTAAACAAGAGGATGATGAGCTGTATATAGGGACTGTATTAAGGAAACTGCAGAAGACTAACTAGCTCATTTGAGGTAGATCCTGTATATATTCCCCAAACTAATTCATGTGTGTGTGTTTACTATTTACTATTTGTATTTTCAGAATCGAGCTATTAGCTTTTGGACCCCGCCTTTCTAACCAATTTATTTTTCCTCACTTATGTCTGCATATATTTCTCTTATACACACACACAGATACACACACACAGATACACACACACACACACACACACACACACACACACACACACACACACACACACACACACACACACACACACACATACACACACGCACACACACACACACACACACACACACACACACACACACACACACACACACACACACACACACACACACACACACACACACACACACACACACACACACACACATGCGCGCACGCACGCACGCACGCACACACACACATATTGGAGGGGTGACAGGTAAGCTTCTAACATGGATGAAAAATTTCCTGACAGAAAAATGAGGGCCGTAATCAGAGGCAAGGTATCAGATTGGAGGAATGTTACGAGTGGAGTGCCACAGGGCTCAGTTCTTGCACCGGTAATGTTCATTGTCTACATAAATGTTCTACCAGTTGGAATACAGAATTATATGAACATGTTTGCTGATGATGCTAAGATAATAGAGAAGATAAGAAACCTAGATGATTATCATGCCCTTCAAGAAGACCTGGACAAAACAAGTATATGGAGCACCACTTGGTAAATGGAATTTAATGTGAATAAATGCCATGTTATGGAATGTGGAATTGGAGAACATAGACCCCACACAACCTATAAATTAAGTGAGAAATCTTTTAAAAATTCTGACAAAGAAAGGGATCTAGGGGTGGTTCTAGAAAGAAAACTGTCACCTGAGGACCACATTAAGAACATTGTGCGAGGAGCCTATGCCACACTTTCTAACTTCAGAATTGCTTTTAAATACATGGATGGAGAAATACTAAAGAAATTGTTCACGACTTTTGTTAGGCCAAAGCTGGAACATGCAGCGGTTGTGTGGTGCCCATATCTTAAGAAGCACATCAACAAACTGGAAAAGGTGCAAAGACACGCTACTAAGTGGCTCCCAGAACTGAAGGGCAAGAGCTACGAGGAGAGGTTAGAGGCATTAAATATGCCAAAAACTAGAAGATAGAAGAAAAAGAGGAGATATGATCACTGCGTTCGAAATAGTAACAGGAATTGATAAAATTGATAGGGGAAGAATTCCTGAGACCCGGAACTTCAAGAACAAGAGGTCATAGATTTAAACTAACGAAACAAAGCTGCCGGAGAAATATAAGAAAATTCACTTTCGCAAACAGAGTGGTAGACGGTTGGAACAAGTTAGGTGAGAAGGTGGTGGAGGCCAAGACCGTCAGTAGTTTCAAAGCGTTATATGACAAAGAGTGCTGGGGAGACGGGACACCACGAGCGTAGCTCTCATCCTGTAACTACACTTAGGGTAATTACATACATATCCCCAGGAAGCAGCCCCTATCAGCTGTCTGACTCCCAGGTACCTATTTACTGCTAGATGAACATGAGCACTAGGGTGAAAGAAACTCTGTCCACTTGTTTCTGCCTCTGCCGGGAATCGAACCGGGGCCCCTTAAGGCTACGACCCCAGAGCGCTGTCCACTCAGCCACGAGGCCCATGTACTCGTGTACTCACCTATTTGTACTCAGAAAGAGCAGGAAGAGATGTTCCCTGACCGACCACCAGCTCTAAGCTTCTTCCACCAGACATAAGTCTCTTCACTGTGGCTCGTTTCCCGCTCTACAACTGAGTAGAGTGCCAGTGAGCTCTGGCACTCTTAGATGTGAGCTCTGCGGTTCACTCAAACGAGCTCTTCAACTCTCAGGTGAGCTCTGGCACTCTCAGATGAGTTCTAGTTTTGTACACGGTGATAAATGCAGAACATCAGCAGGCAGTTCTCAGTTGGGTACAGATAAGACTAATCTTTATAATCAATTAGACAATTTGATTTCGGGGCTCAGTGGCTAGGGTGAAGCAGCAGAGTTTTGGTGTTGGGCTTGACTGACTCTCCGGGGCCTGACTGACTCTCCTGCTGCTTGTCGCGTGAGTGTCCAGGGTGCTCCCCTAGTTCTACTTACCTGGTTATGCTTGCGGGGGTTGAGCTTCTGCTCTTTGGTCCCGCCTTTCAACTGTCAATCAACTGGTGCACAGATTCCTGAGCCTACTGGGCTCTATCATATCTACACTTGAAACTGTGTATGGAGTCAGCCTCCACCACATCACTTCCTAGTGCATTCCATTTATTAACTACTCTGACACTGAAAAAATTCTTTCTAACGTCTCTGTGGCTCATCTGGGTACTAAGTTTCCACCTGTGTGTGTGTGTGTGTGTGTGTGTGTGTGTGTGTGTGTGTGTGTGTGTGTGTGTGTGTGTGTGTGTGTGTGTGTGTGTGTGTGTGTGTGTGTACTCACCTGTTGCCAGATAAATCAATGTTATGAACAATTATTCAATTCCTTAGCAACAGTTAAATGCGGATGAGTCCTGTAGCACAGTGGTCTGCGTCCTCGAGATTGAACCCGAGAGACCCGGGTTCAATCTCTGGGCAGAACAGAAATGATTTGGTACATTTCCTTTCACCTGATGCACCAATTCAACTTTAGATAAAGAGATAGCCAGGAGTTAGGCAACTAGTGTGGATTGCATCCTGGAGGAGGGTCAATACTTGGCCTGTGGGGGGGGGGGGGAGACTGGGAGGGCCTAGGTACAGGCTTCCTGTCCCCGACAGGGGGAAATAAACTCATAATTAGCAAATGACCTCGTGGCCCCACCAAGATCACAAGTGATGGATGTTAGCAAGCAGGACGCCCTTGATAGACCGTGTAAGTTGATAAGATATAATCAGTCTGAATCTGAGCCTCGGCGATAGCAGGTTACAGGAATTACACGTCTGAATCACCACACTGGCTGTTTATCAGGGGGGTTTGCCAGTAGCTTACCTGTAGTCGGTTTCGAGAGATTTAATATCGCAGTCCTGCCATTGGCCAGGATCTAGCACCTTTCATCTACGTATTAATGTGATAACTCTCGTCAAGAGAAATCTTTTTGAGCTTCGAGACAATCCCAGTAAGTTGCCAGATAAGTCAACATATAAGTCAACTCAGCTTTATTCCACCTGTGTTTTACCTTATGCTCGTTCAAGTACGTTTATTGAGACTATGAAATGTCTTAAAATGATAGAGTAGCTTAGGCTATTTCTACCGTCCTCTACCTTATGCAGGTCTGAGACGAGGTGAAGGTGCAGGTCTGGAGCGGTGGTCTGTCAGATGCGTAGGTGTGCAGCGAGCCAGAGCAACAGGTGTACAGCGAGCCAAAGCAACAGGTGTGCAGCGAGTCAGAGCAACAGTTGTGGAACCAGCCACAGAAACTGATGTAAAGCAAGCCAGAGAAACAGGTGCGGAGCCAAGCAGAGATACAGGTGTGGGCCACAACAGGTGTGAGAGATGGAGGGAGTGAGAGAGGTGAAGCGACTGGGGAAGGGCACCTACGGCGAGGTCTTCCTGGTGGAGAAGAACAGCAAGCAGTATGTCCTCAAGAAGGTAAGTCACACCGTCCCTGTAACTTATCTCTCGTCTATTTGTATCATTGTCCTAAACAATAATATTATTATCATTATTATTATGTGTATTGTTTATTATTCAGCACACACACGCTTATGTCTATCAAGCAATGTTATTTTAATATATATAACTACCTATAGATGTATTAATTCTTTATGCCTCTTTTGCTCGGAGGTAAATGTTTACGTAAGTCATCAGTCATTGCCTTCAATATGCATCAGAACTGTAATTTACATTATAAGTAATATATATTAATTTATAAAGAAAGTAACTTGTTTTCTGATATAAATTCATGAGAGGTTACCTTAATTATGGACTATATGAAGGCCAAGATATACCTGTTGGTTAGTAAGCTCATATGTTGCCATAACAAGTTTTCTTGGGAATTCAGGCGTTTAAGCATCACATCAAACTTAAGTGACATAAATATATACTCCAAGAGGTGTATCCCGCCTCTGGGTGTGTGTATACTGAGTTTACTTTAGCCCTAGACAATGTTCAGGGCTAAAGAATACTTACTGGGTGGTCAGTAATTCCTGTTGTGGCCTTAAGCCCAACACCAAAAACCCAAGTGGTTGCCCCAGCGTCCTGACTCACCTGCGTATCCTTAGGTAGACCTGAAGGAGATGTCGGCGAACCGAAGGTCTTACCAGTTCAGGGAGGTGGCCCTCCTCCGCCAGCTGCGGCACGAGGCAATAGTTACCTACGAGGTGAGGAGCTGTTAGGGAAGGTTTTCTAACACCTCTCTATCAGAGGTGTTAGAAATTAGTCTGTTAAGTTACTATTGTCTTTTTCTAAGTTGGGTTTAGTCCATGTCCTCGGCCTCCAATTCTTGGTAATATTTTTGGGGGCAGGGATATTCCTGCGCGGGCCCTAAGCCTCTGGCTGGCCCACTAAGTGTTGCTTGTTTCTGTTTTACTTGGGCGGAGTATGAGTATTTATGACTCGTATGGTCGCTTCAGTAAGATTTTGCCATATGTGTTTAACAACTTCTGCTCTGTTGAATCTAAGTTGAAATCTTAATGGGTTTGTAACTGCGCATTGTGTTAGATAATGGCTTGGTAATAGTTATAGCAATAGCACTTATTTATCTAGAAAAGGTAGGTCTAATCAAATGGCTGAAATCAAACTTGAAAAGTAACAATTATTCAAATTAAACACTAATAAACACACTTGTAACACAATGTTACAGTATTTAACTTTCACCTTCTGAGTCCAGTAAAATAGGCATACAATATGAATAATTCACAGATAATAACTTCTAATTAATATCCAAAGAATAATGTTTATGTTCACTTATCTTCATAAAACACTTATTAATAAAAGATTATCAGCAGAATCACATTATATACACATATCCCTATACATATCGATGGTGGTGTGGTATTAATACTGAATAACCAGTGGAGGTGACCCCTAGCCGTCCAGGTTCGATTCCTGGTGGGGCCAAAGAGTTTACAGTGATATCCATATAACTGTTTCCTAAGCCATAGTTATCTACACCGGTGACTACGTATGAAAGTAAACAATAGAAACAAATACAGAGCTCTACTTCCATCCCTTCAGTTGCTGGCGCCATAACTGAAACCCCTCAATTCAAATTCAAAATCAAATAAGTTTAATGAGGTATAAATACACACAAAGGGATGAGGTAGCTCAAGCTATTCTCACCCCGTTCAGTACAACGTGGTCATGTATATATATATATATATATATATATATATATATATATATATATATATATATATATATATATATATATATATATATAGACACATCACAAACAATATGCATATTACCGAACATTCTGAGCGATAAACATGTACATTTCTTTGAAGCCAATCAGGAGGCCTGAGTGGCTCATCGCGCCCATGCATACGAAAGATGTAGTGTTGACTGGTCTCTGATCGACCACAACTATCACCAGACACTCAATTGGGTTCTTGTCAACCTGTAATACCTAGCTACCACTGATTAATACTCTTAGTATAATTTCATGTTGTTTAAATAAAAATTTCATCAGCCTCTCATGCTAATTCTCTCACAAACCTAACTAATTTAAATACGACTAATTCAGGCCGTAACAGATGTACACTTTGTTGTGAGCAAGTTCTTTCATCAACACTATAATTTGTTTCCATTTAATACGTCGATATATATTAGGTCCCTTACATCGACATCTAATCGACGAGACTCTTAAATACCTCGATTACTTATTGAATTAAGGATTTTTTGGTATTGTTTCCCCAGGATTACCTGAAGGTGGGTCAGGAGATTCATCTTCTGATGGAGTACTGCGATGGAGGGGACCTCCACTCGCGCATACAGAAGCAGAAGGTCACTGGAGTACCCTTCTCCGAGCACCAAATCAGGGACTGGACCTATAAGATTACCTCAGCTCTCCAGGTAACAAATACGCGCACGCACGCACGCGCGCACACACCCACACACACACACACACACACACACACACACACACACACACACACACACACACACACATGGGCTGCTTCCTGGGGTGTGTGCGTGTGGTGTGGAAAAAAAAAGTAGTTAGTAAACAGTTGATTGACAGTTGAGAGGCGGGCCGAAAGAGCAAAGCTCAACCCCCGTAAAACACAACTAGTAAACACACACACAGTGTGTGAGTAGAGTAGAGTTTCAGTATCAGAGTAGTTAACAGGTGGAATGCATTAGGCAGAGATGTGGTGGAGGCTGACTCCATACACAGTTTCAAGTGTAGATATGATAGAGCCCAATAGGCTCAGGAATCTGTACACCTGTTGATTGACGGTTGAGAGGCGGGACCAAAGAGCCAGAGCTCAACCCCCGCAAACACAACTAGGTGAGTACACACAGGTGTGTATAACTAGGTGAGTACACACAGGTGTGTATAACTAGGTGAGTACACACAAGGGTGGTAGACGGTTGGAACACGTTAAATAAGAAGGTAGTGGAGACTAAAGCATTATATGACAGTGCTGGGAAGACGGGACACCACGAGCGTAGCTCTCATCCTGTAATTACACTTAGGTAATTACTTAGCTAATTACACACTCCCTCTGTCTTTCTCTTTCAGCTCGAGTTGTTTTCAACTCGAGCTGAACTATACATCATATAGTATAACTATCACGAACTATCTATAAAGTTTTTTGTTCCCCCATCGGCTTTTAGAGCCGTTATGTAGTGCTAATTCTTAAGAAGAACTGACTCAAGGGAGACTCATATATTATATCTGCCTATAAACTGCCATCAACTTTGCTCAATATCATTTGTGGGACGTTACTTAAAGAATTAACACAAGTAAGTTCAGTTTTAATTACAAATAAAACAATTTATTTAACGATTCACAGAATGGATTGAACAAAAGCATCATTTTCTTACGCATTAACTCTCTTTGTTTTGAAATATAATTTAATAAGTGAACACTGATAGTTATAACGATGTTTATTTTGATGTTGGTGAGGCCTTTGTTCCCGCGCTGCGGTTAATAATAGAGACTAAAACAGGTGGTATTGAAGGCCATTTTAGGGAAAGATGTGGATATAGAAAATGGAGAAGACATCTAAATGTACCCCCACACGCAAGCGGAGTCCCCCAAGGTAATAATAATAATAATAATAATAATAATAATAATAATAATAATAATAATAATAATAATAATAATAATAATTCCCGTTGTTGGGGGGCAGAAAGCTTGTTCTTAGACCTTTATTGAAGTCTCTCACCAGGTCGAACTATTGACCTCTTCCAGGATGCTACCCTACAACAGTTGCCTACCTAGTCGACGAGGCTTGGTCGAGGACCGGCGCCGCGGGGACCCCGAAATCATCTCAAGATAACCTACCTAACTCTCGGGTACCAATTTACTGCTAGGTGAACAGAATCATCAGATTAAAGGATATATGTACCCAACCATATCCGTCCCCCCTCGGGGATCGAACCAGGGATACCCGATTGTGAGGGTGAGAGCATAAACTATTTGAAGCACAGAGCAATTACAGAAAACGTGTAGGTGATACAAAAACATAACAGGGAACATAATGAGATCTGTGGGAAGGCTTCCACGTGCTCCAAATACAGACCGACAAGAACCAGCTGCCGTTCAATACTGTCCAGTTTAAATATGTAAGCTTAGAAAAATGATAGTTAGTAGAAAGATTTGCGGAAGGAAATAATAAATAATGTTTAGTAAAGAAATAAAATCAAGACAGTTACAGCAAAGTGTATTAATGTTACAGCAAAGCTTAACTTATATATTTTTATATCCAGATGTGTTGGCAACAATAATATCAGTGTTGCCATACCTTGAGCTAGCGAGATTCACTTGCACTTATGTGACCAGAAATACATTTTTAATGGAAACGTGACCAGAAAGACCCTTCCTCCGGTCAACGGAAAGGTTGATGGTATTCTGGTATAAGAATTTTGCACCAAGACTGTAATCTTTTGTTGAATTATCTGCATGTCTCTTGCAAATTGTCTATACAGTATACCTAAGTCATAAAAGTATTTGTGTGTACGTCTGATACTATACTACTTGTGCAAAGGAGGAAATGTATATGTTTATCTCTCAGAATGTTCGGCAATATGTTTATTGTTTGTGATGTGTGTCTATATATGTATGTATTCGTTTGCCTTGTTCGGGTTGAATGTAGACACAGTAGTCGCTTCTGTATATATTTATTGAGTGAGGCAAACAGGTGTATAACTGGCCAGCCGAGGTCCACCTACTCTGGGTCTGTGAGGATAACTGAGGCTGCTGGGAGCATGCTTGATGCTCCTCTGTCTGTCATGACGTCAGAGGCCTACTTGCCTGTGATTGGTTACATTTCAACTGACAGAATTTTGAGTATAACACCGCTCGGACACGCTACCAAGTCGACGTCCCTTGTCGACAAGCTCTGGCTAGCTATATAGTTACAATGATACTGAAAGGACCTCGGTGGCATACAATAATGGCTTACATGTGAAATTTGCATAATAAAACATTGAAAGAAGATCAGGTGTGCGTAATACAAACAACTCGGCATATATGCACCAAAAAAAAAATTCATCATAATAGGTGAAAATCATGGTAACAATGCTTTGATTAAATCAGAGTATTAAGAACATGTGTATGTCTACTGATCAGATATGAACAATACAACCCAAGGTATTGCCTAAACAAAATTATTAACATGTGTCAATGGCATGTGCTTGAAAACCATACAAAATTAAACAATTATTACATTAATGGAACAAAGTTCTGACCTAACAACCACAATTGAATTTCAAGATAGATTATGATTTTCTTTTTTTTCTCATTTTTTTTTTCTCTGAAATGTACAATATATTTACAAGACCAATGTACAATATATTTAATGTGCAATATATTTACAAGCTATATACAAGACCTGGAACAAGAAGACTAACATCTGCGTGATAGCAGTCAGGATTCACTGGCCTCAATGTGGTTGCTAGAACAATAATAACTCTTATGACAAGCACTGTAAAAAATACAAATGGTAGTAGACTTAACAATGGCATCTAATTCATAACAAAATAAAGTTGAGAAAAACTATACATTATATATAATGGTAATAATAAGACACATGTGGTAGAAATACTGCAAATGATTTTTTTTTTTCAAAACAAACAGAATAACTGCAGAGTGCAATCAATTATAAATTCTGCGGATATCTACACCTAGCTCATCCAGAGCACTATACAACTCTGGCTCTGACTGAAGGTCCGGAACAGATGAAACTTCATGCGACAAACTATCATCTTGAGAGATATCCTCGTTAACATCTAGCCAATGGACATGTGGTGAGTGCACGGTTGAAACGAGAGGTCTAGATCTAAGATTATAATTGCTAGTATGGGGTTGCTGAACATCCAGTGGTCTGTCAACCACAGGAGGTGGTGTCCGAGTAGGAGTATCTGTCTGGGTAAGTTCATTGTCATCTTCCTCATCAGTCTCGTCAACAGTCATTTTAGCTAACTTCATGTGGTCTAAATGTTCATTTATATACTCTCCTGTTAACAAGTTCTTAAGTCTGTATTTGTTACCTTTAATAAGCTCGATTACCTTATATGGACCCAAAAATTTCTTAGTTAACTTGTACATAGGACCAGACCTGTGTTGGTTAAGTATCATTACTACAGATCCAATAGTTATTTTACTGGGTTTAGCTCGTGCATTCCTTGCTAGAGTGAACTCGGCTGTTGCTTTGGACAGTTGTTCTCGTATTTTCTTGAATACTAATTGCATTTGTCTACGCTTCACTTGAACAAAATCATCTACGTTATATAAGGGAGTAGGAGGTACGTTAATCAATTCATTAGGGAGGATCTTATCTGTACCATAAAGAATAGCGTGAGGTGTGTCACCAGTAGAAACATTAATTGAAGAATTTATAGCACACTGAATTAAGGGTATAAAATCATCCCAATTGTTGTTATCAAAATTCAACGTGACTCTCAAGGCATCTAACACTTTCCTGTTAGTACGTTCAGCTAGTCCATTACTTGCCGGATGATAAGGCATGATGCTACATTTTTTGATGTTATATAAATCACACAAGCTAGTTAGAATACTATTACTGAATTCCGGACCATTATCTGAAAGGATTACTTTAGGCATACTATATCTACAAATTATTTGGTCATGGAATGCGCTGGCTATGGTTTCTGCTGTTTTGTTCGGGATAGGAACTAGTTCGCAAAACCGTGAAAAATTATCGACCATTACAAGCAAATGTTTGTTCCCTTTCTCTGTTTCCGCAAAATTTGTCAATAAATCCATCGATATTCGTTCCCAAGGAGCTTTAGTTGCTGGGTACACCTGAATTGGATTAGGTCCTGAAACATGTCCCTTGTGCTGTAAACAAGTTAAACATCTGTCAACATAATGAGCAATCTCCTTAGCCATTTTTGGCCAAAAATATTTCAATCGACCTTGTTGGAGTGTACGATCCTTTCCTGGATGTGCACTTGCAGGAGCATCATGGATAATTTTTAACACAGTTGGTACCAAGACAGCTGGAACAACTAACTGACAACATTTCCTCGAGGCTGTCCCTAGCTTTACTACTCTACACAGTAAATTGTCCAACATAACTAGTTCTTTCAATGGTACTGGCGGTTTATGAATCGGGCGAGTGTCTTGCTTAGTCAAAAATTTAATGACGGGTGCCCATATGGGGTCTTGTCTTTGTTCCGTTTCTACTACTGTAGCATCTAATGCTGGGTAATTTAACTGAATCGCAGCTACGTGTCGAGAAAACGCATCGGCTACAACATTTTGCTTTCCTGGAATATATCCAAATGTGGGATTGAATTCTTGAATTGTGAGCAAATATCTAGCAAACTTTCCAACTGGATTCTTATTTTTGAACAAGGGAATTAATGGTTGGTGATCTGTA